GGTCCAATTGTGCCCCTAGTCAATCAAAATTGAAAACCCTACTAAAGCTTACATGGAAAAATAGAAACCCCAATACTTATCATATTCCTTGTTCACTGTAGGCTAAATGCATGTTGCAAAACAAAACACCTGTCCATTTGGCACTTGTACATAGTAAAAAACAAAACTGGTTCAAAAGCCAGAAAACTTTACATTTAATAGTGAAATGACATTTTGTATCCAGGCTTCCAAGCGATGATGTATCAAGGCTTGCTTCACTTAGGGGAGGAGCTAAAAATGATGACGCGGCTGTACCAGGACCTGGTTCGGTTTTTAACACGAGTTTTGAAAGTGATGTAAACCCCTCAGGCTCCATACAAAATGTGGCTGTTGAATGGAGAGTTACAGTCAGTGCCAGTTTGGAGATAGTTTGGATTGAGTTAGACATAGTTTGTAGAAAAGTTGTGATAATTTGGAGAGAGTTTCATAGTTTCCAAATCATAATTTTCCATACTGCGAAATATGTTGTATATATATTAGTGATGCCACATGAAACTTCATGAAGCACCATCCAATTGCTTCACTGCATCATAAGGATTCTTGAAGCTTCGTTAGCTCTACTAGGATATCTCCTGGACTCAAAAATACCAGCTGGCATGAATGCGAAGTGTGTGGCATTTTGCTGAAAACCTGTGAATGAAACCATCAGCAAAATAATGGTATGCAAAACATGTTTTGCATACCAAAAGAGGTATGCAAAACATGTATATGTATATAACCCGGTGTCATGGGCAGAGAGGGGAGACACACATCCTCACTCTGACGCAACTCTCTGAACAGAATGAGTCATGGAGAAAATCAAAACATCCATTAGATAAAAGCGGATGAATGTGCTGGGAGAGGACCAAGATGTTGCCGTGCAGATGTCCTCTACAGAAAGTCCTCCATGCAAAGCTGTGGAAGATGAAATACCCCTGGTGGAATGAGCCCTGAGACCTATAGAGGGTCCAAGCCAGATGAGATTTAGGCCTGAGAAATGGCCCCACAGAGCCAACGAGACAGGTGTGAGCTGGCAGAGGGCGCCCCAAACAGCT